GCTCCGTGCGTTGCGGACACCTCGACCCCAAAGCGGAGCTCGGCGGGGCGGCGCCGTCGGGGGGGGTTCAGCCCCGGGGGGGGGGAACGGAGACCCTCGGCGGCGGCTCGCGCCCCCCGCCCCCCTCCGTCGCCGTCCGCTCGGCCGTAGCCGCGCGCAGAAGCCCCGCTCGGGGGGCCCCAGAGCCTTTCACGGCGTAATTGAAACCATTGCGCGGCTGCGGGGCGGGGGGAGGGGCGGGGGGGCGGCGGGCGGAGCGGAACCCCGCGGCCCCGCGTGGGACCCCCGGTGTCGTCCCCCGGCGGTGGTGGCGGTGGGGACCCGGCCGGGCCGACCCGGCTCTCGGGGTCCGTTCGGAACGCGTTCGGGGTTGGGCTGCGTCGGGGGGGGGAACGCCGGCGTCTGGGCCCCCTCCCCTCCTGCCGGCGCTGGGGGCAGCGTGCGGGCAGCCGGAGCCCCGCGGGGGCAGCGGGACGGGATGGGCACCGAGACCGCGGGGAGGGATGCGGCCGGGAGATCCGCCGTGCGAAAGTGGGGGGCAGAACGGGGGCGGGGCGGGGGGCTGCGATGGGAGCCACGGGGCTCGGGAACGGCCCCCGGCGCGGCTTTGCTTCACACTTAAGAGCCGCTAATCAAAACCAGGCGCTCACGGTGTCGGGCGGGGGGGGGTGGGGAACAGAAGACGGGGGGGGCGGCGTGGGCATCGGAGCCGACACGTGTCCGCACACACATGTGCACACACACACACACACACACACACACACACACGTGTGCACGCCTACGGGACCGTACGCAGCTCGAGGCTCCGCCGCTCCCGTCCTCCGTGACCCCGGCAGAGGCCGGCCGCGGGGGGGCTGCGCTCGGCTCCCGGTGGCCCCGCAGGCGGAGGGGCTCCCGGCCATGTCGGACACGGCCCCGGCGGCGGCCGGCATTCACGGCTCGGGCGGCTCGCGAGCGGAGCGGCGGAATGAAAGGGCGGCTTAAGGGCGGCTTAAGGGCGTCCCGCTGCGCCCCGCGGATGAGCGCCGTCGGGAGAGCCGCGTGCCGCGGTGCGGGGTCGGCGGGGACGGGAGGGAGGGGTGCGGGACACCGAGCTGAGCGACGTGCGGGTCGCGGGGCCGGCTGTGGGGCCGGCAGTGGGGCCGGCAGCCCCCAGACACGCGCCGCCGGGCGCAGCTGTCGCTGTCAGCACGCGGTATTTTTAGAGCGGCCGTGCGGGGCCGTGCGGGGCCGCGACCCCACGTGCGGTGCTTTGGGGTCACAGCCGCCCCGCTCCGCCCCCGTTGCGCGGCCCCGCCCGGCTCTGCCGGCTCCGGATCCCCCCTCGGCCGGACGCGGTGCCCCCGGCGCTGCCGTCCCCTCGCGGGGCTCCCGGAGGTCGGCGCCGCGGCACCGCCGTTCCTCTCCGCCTGGGTCCCCGCCGGCGCCGCGCTCCGCGTGACGGGAGGTGAATAAATAGCAGCCCGTCCCTGTCCGCGCTGTGCGCTACGTGACCCCCACGGACCCCCCGTCCTCTTCCCGGGGTGCGAACGGCCTCCGGGACTCAGAGCGCACGGCTCTGCCCGAGGGTGGCCGCAGGGTCCCCCCGGCTCTGTCCCCAGCCGTGCCAGCGCTGTCCCTGTCACCCTATAGGTCGCGGCGGCCCCATCGCGCCCCAGCCGCCCCCTGCCCGCCAGCCCCGTACAGCCCCGCTGGGGACTCCCCCTGCCCACGGGGACGCCGAGATGTCCCCGCATCCAGTGAGCGTCCGAGGCGCTCCTGTGCCTGGTGGGGGCCGCTCCTGTGCCCCGCGGGGCACCCGGCCGTCCCCGTGCCCAGCAGCGTGCAGAAGGCGTGGGTCTGTGCCCAGCAGGACGCGGGGCTGTGCCCGTGCCCAAAGGGGCGCCGAGCCGCCCCCGTGCCGGGAGGCAGGGCTGATCCCTGCGCCCAGGGGTGGCACTGAAGTGTCCCCGTGCCCAGGGGAGGCGTGGAGTTGTGCCCACGCTGTGCTGAGCCCACACCCAGCGGGGACGCGGGTCTGTGCCCAGCAGGAACACTGAGCAGTGCCACGTGCGACCCGAGTGCTGGAGCAGAACCCACACCAGAGAGCGTCCCTATGGGGCACAGCTCGTCCCCATGGGGCACAGCTCATCCTTATGGGGCACAGCTCGTCCCTATGGGGCACAGCTTGTCCCCATGGGGCACAGCTCATCCCTATGGGGCACAGCTCATTCTTATGGGGCACAGCTCGTCCCCATGGGGCACAGCTCATCCCTATAGGGCACACTTCACCCTTATAGGGCACACCTCATCCCCATGGGGCACAACTCATCCTTAGGGGGCACAGCTCGTCCCCATGGGGCACACCTCATCCTTATGGGGCACAGCTCGTCCCTATGGGGCACAGCCCTAGCTGGCACAAGCCCTGGCTGCAGAGCACAGCAGGGGCTGCTCCTTGCTGGCCCCCAACCACTCCATCCCCACACAGAGCTGCCTGGTGCAGCACAGAGGCCCAGGCAACCTGCAGGAAGGGGCCCTGTGCCGCCCCCTGCTCACACACGTGTGCACAAACACACGGGGACCTGGGGGCTGTGCTGTGCTGGGGGCTGTGCACGCTGGCACACTCGCAGTGCCCTGCATGTACTGTTGTGTGGAAGGCTCACACTTAAGGACAGTCACACACCCGGATCACATCAGCCCTGCTGCTGCAGGCAGGCTGGGAGCACAAATCTGGCATGAAGGGAAACTGAGGCACGGACTGAGGGAGGGCAGGAGCCACTTCTGTCCTGTCTGAGCCACGCTTGAGGGCACCAAGGTCAGCTTGGGTGGCATCATGGAGGCACCAACCCTGCGTGGGGGCACCTTGGGGGGCTGTGTGCCCCACAGCACTGCAGGCACGAGCACCAGTGGACGATGGGGGGCTGTGCCCAGCAGTGATGGGAGGCACCAGAAGGAAGCCATCAGATGGGACCTGGGCCGTGGCTGAGACCCCACGGCTCTGAGCCACCCTGCCTGTGGGGCTGCTCCCCTGCGCTGTGCCCCCAGTCCCTGTGGGGCCTCACACATCCCTCACCCCACAGCTGCTTCACCTGGCCTCGTCCCGGCAGCCCCACACATGGCTGGGGGGGCACAGAGTGCTGGGGGTCCCATGGTGTGGGTGGGGGTCTTGTGGGGTGGGTGGAGGTCCCATGGTGTGGGTGGGGATCCAGTGATGTGAGTGGAGATCCAATGGTGTGGGTGGGGGTCCCAAGATGTGGGGGTCCCACAGTGCAGATGGGGATCCCATGATGTGGGTGGGGGTCCTACAGTACTGTAGGGGTCTCGTGGGGTGGGTGGGAGTCTCATGGTGCGGGTGGGTGTCCTATGATGTGTGGGGGTCCCATTATGTGGGTGGGGGTCCCATGGCGTGGGTAGGGATCCCACAGTACTGAGGGGGTCCCGTGGAGTGGGTGGGAGTCCCATAGTGTGGGTGGGTGTCCCATGATTTGAATGGGGCTACCATGATGTGGGTGGAGCTCCTACGGTGTGGGGGTCCCACGGTGCAGATGGGGGTCCCATGGTGTGGGTGGGGGTCACATGGGGTTGATGGGGATCCCATAATGTGAGTGGGAATCCCACGATGTGGATGAGGGGCCCATGATGTGAGTGGGGGTACCATGACGTGGGTGGGGGTCCCACAGTGCAGATGGGGGTCACATGGGGTGGGTGGGAATACTACAGTACGGTTGGTGTCCCATGGTGTGGGTGGGTGGGTGGGGGTCCCTCAGTGTGGACGTAGGTTCCATGATGTGGGTGAGGGTCCCATAATGTGACTGGGGATCCCATGGGATGGGTGGGGGTTCCTTGGCATGGGTGAGGGTCCCTTATGGGGTGTGAGTGGGGATCCCACGATGTGGATGAAGGATCTGTGATGTGGGTGGGGGTCCCATAATGTGAGTGGGGATCCCAAGATGTGGGTGGGGGTCACATGGGGTTGATGGAGATCCCATGATGCGAGTGGGGATCCCATGATGTGGGTGAGAGTCCCGTGATGTGGGTGGGGGTCCCATGGGAGTAGGGGTCCCTTGGCATGGGTGAGGGTCCCTTATGGGGTGTGAGTGGGGGTTCACCATGTGAATGAGGGGCCCACGATGTGGGTGGGGGTCCCATAATGTGAGTGGGGGTCCCAAGATGTGGGCGGGGGTCACATGGGGTGGATGTGGATCCCACGATGTGAGTGGGGTCCCACGATGCGGGGGTCCCGCAGTACCCGGGGGTCCCGTGCGGTGCGCGGGGTCCCGCAGCGCCCCCTGCCGCCCGGCCCGCAGCGCCGCCCGCCGCACGATCGCCCCCTGCCGGTCGGCCCGCAGCGGGCGGACTCGCGTCGCGCGCGGCCCGGGGCTCGGCGCCGTGCTGGGGGCGGGCGGCGGGGAGACGCGCTCCGAGCTGCCGGCACGGGGCTGCGCCCAGCGGCTCCGGTGCGGCTGGGGGCGGCGACGAGCCGCACCGGGCCGGTGCCGTTCGGTACCTGTGCAGGATGGGCTCGGCGCGCCTCGGCTCTGCTGGGAGCCGCGCGGCCCACGGGGGCCCTGCAGGCGGTGCGGACGCTCCTTGGAGCGCCCCGAAAGGAGGAGGGGAGGCCCGGCCCCGCTCCGGGCACCGGCGGTGGGACTGGGCGGGCGGACAGACGGCCCGAGATGCACCGGCGGCACGGCACGGCACGGCACGGCACCGCGCACCGCCAGCCGCCCCGGCAGAGAACCGCGGGCCCCTCAGCCCCTCGCAGCGAGCTCGTCCGCCTATTGGCTCGCGCCGCCATCACTCGAGAGATCGGAGCGATCCCATTGGCTAGCTGCGAGAGGGCGGGAAGCTTAGCGCCCTCCCCGTGCCCCCCGGGTCGCGCCCTCGCCGCTGCCGGCTGCGCGCACGCGCGAAGCCGGAGGCCGGATGCGGGCTGCGCGCGCAGCCGGGCGGCGGCGCGTGCGCGGAAGCTCTCCGCGACCGGGCCGCCGCGCGCCGCGCATGCGCGGGACGGCGGGCGCGCGGCCGCGGCGCCGAGGGGCGGCGGGAGGAGGAGGAGCGGGGGGGCGGCGCGGGGCCGGGCCGCAAAATGGCCGACAGGTTCTCCCGCTTCAACGAGGACAGGGACTTCCAGGTAACGGCCGCGCCGTCCCGGGCCGGCAGGGCCGTGTGCGAGGGAGGGCGGGGAGCCGCCGGGCCGCCGGCAGCTCGCAGGGCCTGGAGCGTCGGGCCGGGGGGAAACGAAGGGAACGGGAATAACGGGGCGGGGGGGGCAGGGCGGGACGGGGCGGCTGCGGCGGCTGCGATGGCTGGGAAGGGCTGCGGTGGCTGCGGTGGGACGGCGGTGGGCGGCTGGCGGGGCGTGGAGGAGCTGATGGCGGTGTGGGGCTGACAGCGCCGGGAGACTGAAGGAGCCGGGGGGGGAGGGGGGCCGCTGGGCCGTGGGAGCGGCGCGGTGGGGGCTGCTGGGCTTCGCTGCTGGGCTTCGCTGCTGGGCTTCGCTGCTGGGCTTCGCTGCTGGAGCTGCGTGCCCGCCGTGCGAAGGGGTGCGAGAGCTGTGCGGGGCTGCGAGCTGGCGGTGTGCGGCGCCCAGCAACGGAAAGACGGGAGCTGCTGGAGGGGCTGCGCAGGAGCCGCGAGGATGGCAGGGGCTGCAGCACCAAAGGCAGGTTGAGGGAGCCGGGCTTGTTGTGCCTGGAGGAAAGAAGGCTGCGGGGTGAATCATTGCAGCCTTCAGCACCTAAAGGGAGCCTACAGACAGGAGGGGAGTCAACTCTTTGAAAGGGGAGATAACAGCAGGACGAGGGGAAACGGTTGGAAGTTGAGGGAGGGGAGATTTCAGTTGGATGTCAGGGGGAAGTTCTTTGCTATGAGAGTGGTGAGGTGCTGGAACAGCTGCCCAGAGAGGCTGTGGATGCCCCGTCCATCCCTGGAGGTGTTCAAGGCCAGGTTGGATGGGGCCCTGGGCAGCCTGGGCTGCTGTGAAATGTGGAGGTTGGTGGCCCTGCGTGTGGCAGCAGGTTGGAGCTTCGTGGTCCTTGAGGTCCCTTCCAACCCGGCCCTTCTGTGACTCTGTGTCCCTCCAACCAAAGCCGTTCTGTGAGCTGCACTGCTGTTCAGAGCTGGGCAGGGAGGAACCTGCTGGGTTCAATGAGTGCAGAGCTCTGCCCTGCAGGGGAACAAGTGCAGGTGGGGGCTGAGCTGTGCAGGGAGCTGCACTGGGGACGTGGGGGTTGTGGTGGGCGGGGGCTGACCTTGAGCCAGCAGCCTGCCTGGGGGCCCTCAGGTGCATTGTATGGAGTGGTCAGCAGGGTGACGGAGGTTCTCCTGCCCTCTGCTCTGCCCTGGGGAGGCCACATCTGGAATAGCATCCCCAGCTGTGAGATGGGGGCTGGGAGCATCTCCTGCTGAGGAGGGCTGAGTGACCTGGGGCTGTTCAGCCTGGAGAAGAGAAGGCTGAGAGGGGACCTCAGCACTGTGAATACACCCTGAGCTGTGCGCTGTGAGCCGTCCCACACACGGGGTGACTTCATTAAACGCCCCATAATTAGCACTGACACGGTGTGATTCTGCTTGCAGGTTCCTGTTTCGGGCAGGCAGATGTTGGGCTTGAAGATGCATTTCTTGTACTGGTTCCCTTTAGGAGTGGAAGGACGGGGAACCTCACAGTGAGAGCAGGGCAGTGGGCAGCTCCTGGCTGCGCATTGCACAATGTGTGCACACGTGGGTTCTGCTCGCCTTGTTTTCCTTCCTTTGCAGGGCAGTGTGGCTTCACAGAAAGTAATGTAGCAGCAGAACCTGCTCCTGTGTCAGTGTGTGATGTCAGAGGGGAGGCAGCACAGCTCCAGCACTGCGAGCTGCTCTCAGACAATGGCTGCAGAACGAGGGCTGTGTCCGTGCTGGGCGTCGTGCTCTGTTGTTTCCCGTGGGCAAACTCTGAGGTGGGCCTTGTGCCATACTAGGTTGATTCTGACTCCTCTGTTCTTTTTTCTCTGCGAGTTCCGAAGCGAGGGGATGGGTTTATTTTGTGTGTGCAGCCTTGCTTTGGGGGAAATGGGAAACGGGAAGGGACTCAGAGTGAGTCGGGGTGGTTCTGAGCCTGCAGAGCAAGGGATGCAGAAGTGATGAATTATAGAGGAGCTGCTCAGGTGTCTGCACGGAGCCCTGCTGCTGGGCTGGGGGTTGTGCCTCAGTGCCGTGCTGTGGGGGAGCCCTGCTGCTCCTTTCTCTTTGTTAGCTGCTCCTGGAGGTGAATTCTGACTTTGTGGTCCCCTGTGCTCAGACCGAGGTTGCTGGAGAGAGAGCCCTGTGTGGGATGGAGGAGGACCTGCTGAGCTGTGCTGAGCTGGGTGGGGTGTGCGTGGCACAAGCACTGCTTTTGGTCATCGGTGCAAAGCACTGCTTGGAGCTGTGGCAAAATTCAGACTCTGTCGATATGAAGTCATGGCTTTGTGTGTAGGCTCCCTTTGTAAGGCTGCTGGTGTTAAAAAAGCCTTTTCACCCAATTTATAGTGTCTTGATTGCAGGCTTTGGCAGGTGGGCTTGCTTGTCTGGAAGGCTGGGCTCAGCCATTGGGCTCGGAGCAGGGCTGGGATGCAGTGGAGGAGCACTCAGGCTGCATTCTTTGCAGTCTGCTCGTGGTCTTGTGATCTCAGTGAAGCCAAAGGATGTGCAGAGCCCTGAGAAAGGAAGAGAAACAAAAGGTCAGGAGTGCAGTGTGCGGGTCAGAGGGTCCTCGTCACTGGGGAGGAGAGGCAGATGCCTTTGGGTTAGCGATGCAGCAAAAGGAAGCTGTCCCAGGATGGGAAAAACAACAGTGAGGGCTGCTCTGGTTTTGTCAGTTGTTTCTTTTCTTCTGGAGAGGCGCTGGCTGGGCTGGCTGGGCAGCACGGGGCTGCCAGGGGTTTGGTTGGGTTTCTGTGCTCCTGATTTGCTCCAGGGAGGTGAGGACAGGTGGGGGCTGCGGGCTGCATGTGGCTCTGTGCTGTTAGGGGGAAAGGGAGAAACCAGCAGCACAACAGGAGGGTGGGGAGGGGGGCAAAGGGGTCAGTGGGGAGATTGTGGGGATGGGTGATGCAGGGCTGCTGCTGTGATTTTCCCTGTTTGTTGTAGCAGGAATGTTACTGTGTGTGTCTGTGTGCTGTGAGTTCCTGCTGGGACACACTGTGTGCTGCTGTCCAGCTGTGCTGCTGCAGCTCTGGGAGCTGAGCACCATGCAGGGCACAGCAGGAGGAGCCGCAGCAGAGTCCTTGCAGGGCTCTGTGCCCCACATCTCTCACAGAACGGGTCCCCTGGCAGGGTTTGCCATAGGGATGTAGCTGGGCAGGCAGCCCTCTGCATCCCAGGGCAGACATGCAGACGTGCTTCTCTCCTTGTGCTTCCCTCCTTGTGCAGCTCCCAGCACAGCCGTTCTCAGCCCGCCTTCCAGCAGCGTTTTGGGCAGGTGGTTCTGCGGGTTTGGCTGCGCAGAGCTGGGCAGGCAGAAGCCCACGTGAGGACGTGTTGCCCATCACAGCCAGGAGCCACTGCTGGCCGTGGCAGCTGGGCGCTGCTGTCAGAGCAGTGTTAGGGGCTGGGGAGCTGCAGGAGCCGCCCGCCTCTCCCTTGCAATTAAGGGTGCTTCTTTCAAAAGCTGCCAATTTAAATTCCTGTGCCGTAATTGCTGTTGTTGTATCAGCTGGAGAGGTTTTCTCTTGGAGCACTCAGGACGTCACTGCTGTGTGTTTGCCTACAGTGTGGTTTTGCTGCCACAAACGCTGCGGTGTGGAGGTGTGCGGTGCCCTCAGCTGTGCTCCAGGAGCTCTGCAGGGCGGTGTGCGATGTGCTGGGTGCTGGGGGAGCCTTCCCTGCACATCGCTGCACGAGGATCCTGCTGGCTTGTCGGCTCTCAGCACACAGCAGCAGAGGGTCTGACTGTGGCTAAGTGGTAACTCGGGCTTTCCAGCTCCCCTCAGCAGCTCATGCTGCCCTTTTCAGAAGCCCTAACGTTTCCAGGAGAGCTGAGGGTTGGGTGGAGCCTCCAAGGGCGCATGTTGGCCTCCAGAATTCATCATCTTCTGTGCATGTGATGAACTCTGGAGCAGCACCGCTGAGCTGTGCTTTCCTGGAGCTGTTTGGGAGCACAGCTGTGTGTGGTGCAGCCCAGGAATCGCAGACCATCCGTGGCTGTGTGCTGTGGGTTGGTGAGTTCTGGAGGGCAGGGTTGTAGCACCTCGTGTGGGCTGAGCAGCTGGGCTGCGCTCTGCCTGCCTCCTCACATCCACCTGGGGCTTCTTTGGCCCCTTTTGGCCTTCCTTTGTTAGTGGAGGTGATGAGGGCAGGCAGGGCTGGCTGCTCAGCAGGGCGGCCCTCGTTGGCAGCAGGGCTGTGTGCACAGCAGCCGTAGCAGAAGCTCCTTTTGGTGCTCAGCAGCACTGCTTTGTGGCTGTTCTACCTTTGGTGGGGATGGTTCCCTTCTCTCTTAGAGAGGCGCAGGTCGCAGTGCACGCTCTGTGCTTACAGCCCTTGTTTGCCAGGAGTGCGGGGTGTTCTCAGTACGTCTGGGGTTTAATTGATGGTGAGATTGAAACGTCTTCCTCTGCCTCATTGTCTCAGGGCACGGTGGCACAAAATGGCTCCGTTTGCAGTGCCAGGTCGGAGCGCAGCAAGGCGGCAGATGGAGCTGTGTGGCTTCGGGGCTGCCCCCCTCCAGCTCCCAGGAGCAAGGTCCTGGAAGGGTGCAAATACATCAAGTCAGGCCCAAGTCGATAGCAATGGGATTGTTGGCTCTCAGACGAGCTTGGCTTGCTTTTGGGCTGCTTTGCATTTGGCTTGGATGGGGTTCAGTCTTCGGCATCGCTTCCGGGAGGGGACTTTTGTTTTTGTCAGCAAAGCCTGGGAGCCTCGCTGAGCCTCGCTGCCTTCGCATGGAGCAGGCAGGGCTTGGATGGCACAGGTGACCCGGCTGGCACAGTCAGAGCTGGCTGCAGGCAGCAAGTCATGCTGGGAAGTCAGAAGGGAGAAAAGCCAGCACAGCTCTGTGTTTGCTGTGTCTGTGGTGCTCCTGATCTAAATGCTTTGCGGGTTGCATTCTTGGATTGATGTTCTGCTATGAGGGGCTGCAGGGAGGATGGCTGCGGGACAGCTGGTGTTTGGGTACGAGCACCAGGTCACGTTCTCTTGGCGCTGGGTCTTGGGGCTGCCTGGCCAGCTGGGAGCACAGCACAGGGGCTTTGGGGGCTGCACTCAGCTGGGAGTACCAGCAGTCCTTTCTCACGTTGGCTTCCTTGCAGCAGAAGCTGGTGCTGATGGAAGGGAGCAGTGATGCTGTGCTTCTCTGCAGTGGCACAGGGTGCTCCTGCTCGGACTGGGGGTGCTGGTGGCTGGGTGGCTGCCCTGGGTGGGATGCTGTGTGCAGCACTGGGAGTGCTGGCTGCTGGGGGTGCAGCGTGAACATCTCCTGTGGGCAAACATGGTTCTCTGTGTTATGGTCTGAGGAATTTGCAGCTTCAGAGAGGCCACAATGGAGACGGTTGTCTTGAAATGGCTGCTGGTGCTGCTGGCTGCTCTCCTGGCTGAGCCCCCAGCACTCAGCATCTCACAGAGCAGGGCAGTGTGCTTCTGCTTGGTTCCATCCCCACTTTGTGCACAGTGCGGTGGGACAGGAGAGCTGCCCTGCTCTGAAAGCAGCGGCCTGCTGTGTTGTGGTGGTGGAAGCAGGCACACAGCCCTGCTGCTGGGCAGGCACAGCTCTGCACTGCTGCCGTGCTGCCGAGTGCTCTGCCCTGCACGGCCCATCTGTGGCACAGGGCTGCAGAGCTCCATACAGCTCAGTGTGTGAGCCAGAACTGCACTGCTGGGCAGCAGCTCCATCCCACCTGGGTCTGTGGTGCTGCACATCTGTGAGCAGCCAGAAGTGCTGCCATCTCACGTGTTTGATATCTCACAACTTCTGCAATTCACGAGCACGGTTGGGCCGGGTTTCAGAATGCCTTCTTTACAGCCTACGGACTGAGCTGGGCCTGCACTGAGTTTGGTTACGTATTGTGCTGGCAAAACGTACCAGATGAACGTGTGCCCAAACCTGGATCGTGAAATGAGAGCTGTGGGCTGAGCCCGTGTTCTGTGCCATAAAGCTGACCGTCTTCTTCCCTTGCAGGGCAACCACTTCGACCAGTATGAAGAAGGGCACCTGGAGATAGAGCAGGCGTCCCTGGACAAGCCCATCGAATCGGTAAGGCTGTGCTCAGCACCAGCACCCTCCTGCCCCGTGCTGGGCCCCGGGCGCGTTGCTGTGGGCAGGAGGGGCTCCTGGCAGGGCGAGCTGCATGCTGAGCTTGTGTGTGCAGGGCTGCCAGCAGCACTCCTGCACCGTGCCACTGAAGTTCGGTGCCGTACTTCAGAACTGACCTGACCCACTCAGAGCCGTTAGGTTGTTTTATGTTTCTGCCAAAGAATCAGTTTAATTGTCAGCAGACCCGCAGGGATAGCGTAGCAGAGTGCATTCTGATCCCCTTCAGCCCGTGTTTTTTGGCTGATGGTGGGTTGGGGTGGCACCTGGCTGTGTTAGTGCAGCAGAGCTGCCCCACGGCGCCGGGACTGCGGCCAGGATTTTAAAGTGTTGCTTTTGTGTGTTTTGTGGCTTTTTTTTTTTTCTTATGAACGTGGAGAGCACAGCCATAAAATGGGGCAAGCCTCAGTTTTCCCTTTTAAAGCTTTTTGGAGCTTTTTAAGTCCTGTCTCTGCCAGCCATGGGTGCAGGGCTGTGCTCACCTGCAGGCCTGGCGTCCAGCTTTAGCCCTGCAGCCTCAGTCAGTGCAGCAGCAGTAGGAGGGGAGGAAATGTGGTGGTGGACGATGAGCTCACACAGAGCTCTGCTCAGAGAAACCACTTCTGCTAGAAGTAGAAGCTCTCAGGTGTTCCCTTTCCCAACTAAGAAACGAAGCTGCTGAGGTTGCTCCATGTCTGTGCCCACTTAGAAGCACTCGGCGCTAGCGAGGGCTCAGTGTGTCCTCCCTGGTGTGTAGGTCGGTGTTGTGTGTGTTTGTGTGTGTTTGGATGTTTACCAGAATTTACACAACTTGGGGTGTTCGACGTTTTTCTTCCGCAGCAGTTGGTCCATATTAGCTAAGCAGCCCTGATCTGGTTTGTATTGCACGGTCTGCCTTTTTTAATTTCTTCTCTAGGGTTTCCTTTCCCCTTTCTTATTTCTGTTCTTCTGGTCCAGTGAACACTGCATATAGTACCTACTGTCTTCTGTGCTGGCATGATGCTAGATCTAGGCATGGCAGTAATCGATGACGCATGAGATAATGCTGCAGAGATGGGAGTTTGTATTCAGCGTTGTCCTGAATACCTCAGTCGTGCACTGTGGCGTGGGGGTTTAATTGAGGTGCTGATAGAGATCACAGGAAACACTCGTGGCTGCGGCGTGTTGCGCTGCAGCACTGACAGAGTCGTGCAGGTCAGGAGGTGTCCCAGCTCTGGAGCTCTGCCCCAGCTGGGGGCAGGAGGGGTCCCAGTGTGTCCCCAGGAGCTGCAGGAGCACGTGGAGCAGCAGGTGCGTGCTGGGCATCTGCAGGCACAGCCTTTTGTCACGGAGGGTTTGGTCAGTGAGGAGCTGCGGCAGAAAGTTCAGAACGAAATGGCAGCTTTAGTATTTAATTCAGCTGAGGGTCCCTTCCAACTCCAGCAGTCCCAGGGCTCTGTGCTGCCATCCGACTGGGGCGACAAGTGACAGCTCAGGGTAGCTTTAACAACTCGCTTTGGCCTCGTGGTTAAACTGTGCTCCATGCGAGGGCTGTTGGATGGGGCGGCCGCCAGCCGCGCCGCTGCTGCGCTGTGCCTTCGTGGCTCTGCCCTCGGCCTGGTGAGCAGGCCTGGCTCTGCAGGCTGCCCTCATCACAGCACAGCCTCCATCTTCACGTCGTCTTCATTCAGAACGCTGTTGGTTCTTGGAAGACAACCTGCAGGTGGAAAACAAGAATAATGCTTCAGGTTTCCTGCTGCCAGTGAAAATGTTTCCCACCCTCTTAATGACCCACGTGCTGAAGTTAGCAAGTGACAGCCGTGCTGGGGGGGGTTTCCCTGCAGCGCTGCTGTTCTGGCAGGAAGGCTGCTGGCACCTCGTGCTGCAAACACAGAGCATTACCCAAAGTGCCACGGGGAGATCCATCTCTGCAGCATTATCTGGTGAGAGGTGCTGACCGTACTGCTACAGCATGCAACTCGGAGGTGGCTGGAAACAAAGGTCTGGGAGTCTACAGATCGTTACAATGCTGAGACGCGCCCTCAATTCGCACGCCGGCGTTTGGCTCCGTGCAGTCCTGCCTTGTTTGGGCCCCGGCCGCGTGCGACTCCAGGCACAGCACACACATGGCAGCAGGGCCGGCCCGAGCTCGGAGATGTGCGCAGCCTCAGCCAGAAGCTATTTTCCATTCTTAAATTGAAAGTATTTCCCATCAATGGACTCTTCATAGCCCCGAGAGCGATATTTTCGCTTCCCCCACGAGTGACAGTGCCCTTTGTGCTGCTCTGAAAGATGCTGCACACACACCGGCGGCGTCAGCGCGGCCGCTGCTGCTTGTCCTGAGCCGCAGGGCCCTCGTGCAGCATCTCAGACCACAGAGGGGCTGTGCTGGCTGTGAGCACTCCGTGTGCTCGGCTCAGGCCTCAGAGGGCAGCGGCGCCGCGTGGCACCTCTCCTACAGCCCGTCTTCCCCAAGTGAAACACTGCACTCCTCGACCCAATCCCACGGCTGTGAGCTCATGGCTCTCCCCACACAGCGGGCAGCGCGGCGCCGAGGTGAGCAGCACTCAGCAGCACGCTGCTCCCCTGCCCTCCCTGCTCACACAGCAGCCGTGCTGCCCGGCCCTGCCTTGCTGGCTGCGGCGCCCGCTGCCTTTGGTCGCACCACCTGTACAGATCTGTGGACTCCACTGGTTCCAAAGTGTAACTGGGAGAAGCTGCTGGTTTGACATTTAGCAGCAGCCACGTGTGGACAGCGCTATAAATAACGTGCTTCTTGAAGCTGAATGGTGTAGCATTACTATTTGGCTTTTCTCTCTGGTCTTCATTGTGTCATCTTGTAGTGAGCTCTAGGTTTTGTTTTGGGACTCTTTTCAACCTCTCGTTTGCATGGGTTCACCCCGTAGCATCCAGTCCTCGCTTCTGGTCCCCGCATACACAGTCAGCACAGCTTACAGCCCACTCAAGAGACTCATGGCTCCCGGTGCTGCCCGGAGAGGAGCAGAGCAGTGCAGGCTGTGGGATCCCATGGGAGCCCTGCACTGGGCGCAGCTGGTTCTGGTTCTGTCTCCGTGCAGCCCCATCTGCTTGCAGCAGGCCCTGCCCCACCTCCAGCAGCACCAAACCCCTCCAGATCTCACGCGGATCTTTTTGTCGGTGCCTTTCCCTGCTGGGAGCAGGCTGCAGGGCGTGCTGTCACAGTGCTGGGTTCCAGCTGGGTTAGCCAGCCAGGCCGGGCAGGGGCGCACAGCTCCGCGTTTCTGCCTTGCAAAGTTCCCTTCCACACATAGAAACAAAGGCCCCAGGTCCTCCTCGTCCGCCCAGCCACCGATTCCTGCCGTGGCTGTGGCACAGGCAGCCCCAGAGCAGCAGTGTGAGCACGTGGAGCCCAGCAGCAGGCAGCTGTGTCTCCTGAGAAGGCACGGGGACGGCTGGCTGGGAAGGACCGCAGCTCTCAGTGGCAGCAGGGAGCTCGGTGTGAGAGGTGCCCACCTGGGAGCCCGGGCTGCACGGAGCTGCGTGCTGAGCAGCACTGGGGAGGGCAGCCCCACACAGTGCCCACGGCCCGTTTCGGCCCAGTGAGGGCGGCCATCCTCTTGAGTGGTGTTGTAAGAGTGGTGCTAATGTGTATAACCTTCTAAGTCGTTCTGTTCTCCCCTTAACATTCGTTCCCCCTCACTGTGTCAGTCACAACACACCGCTCTTGAATCTCCCAGCTGGTCTTGACTTGTTGAATTTATTTTATGCTTTCACTCTTCTTTAATAAATACATTACTTGCAAGCAGTGAATTGAAAACAAAGCAAAAGAAAAACGACCATTAGTGATTGGACAGTTTCTTACTTTGTGTTACATTTAACTGTTCTTTTGACAGCCCAGTTTTTAAAGCCAGGTTCGTATGGAAATGCTTTCACTCCACTTGCACTGCTTTTGGAAATAGCGTCCCGCTCCATCTGTCGTCCCTTTGGTGCATTGCTCACAGTGCAGTCAGCACAATGTCTCATCCCCACGCAGCTCAGCCTGCCCTCGTGCTGCTCTCACACTGTGGGGTGCTGCAGGTGCCCCACGCCGGCGGCCCAATTAAAAGCCAGCCCTTAATTGCCACGGTGCTTTGCCAGCCGCCCAATCGGCTTTTCCTGGGGAAGATGAGACATTATGCTTATTGTTCCCCTCCATGCACTAATGGTTCCTCGCTGTTAATTACTGCTAGGCCTGTTTCATTCTAACACCTTAGTGTTTTGGTTAGTTTCCATGTGAGATGCATCACCCAGTCTGTGCTTGAGCTCATTTTATTTAATCGATTTCTTTATTTTGTTTTTACTAACCTCACTGTTTTTTCAGTTTAATATTGGCTGCATGCTAGTTTATATCTATATATACATATATAAAACCCAATCAAGTGTAGTCTGGATTGTGCTCTGATTGCGTTTGGTTTTAGTGGTGGGCAGTGCTGCACTGACAGCTTTCGGTTCTCTAAATCCTGACACGCAAACCAAGCGACTAAACCCAGCGTAGACCTCCGCCAGCCTCCTAATGGTGCTGTCTAGGTGATGGATACGATTGTCTCAGTAGCCTGATTTTATGCTTTTTACTGTCAATTTTGATCGGTACACCTTTCCTCCCCCATTGCTTTCTGTTTTTTTTGGTTGTTGTGGTTGTTTTCCTTTCCCCCGATGCACACACGTTGCCCAGCACACCATCAGACAGCGGCCAACCCCGGCCCTGCAACAATTCCAGCCAGCAATTTTTGCCATTGGTCTCTCCCTTTCCTCGGGCACACGTTGCCTTCTCAGTAGCATTTTTTTGCATGCGTATCTATGTAGAAAATCTCTCGTTCATCACATGTTTCAGTGGCGGCGGGAAGGGAAGGATAAATTATTGGAATATTTTTGGTTTGTTCTCTCTGTTCTGTCTGTCAGGATAATATCGGACACCGCTTACTGCAGAAGCATGGCTGGAAGCTGGGCCAGGGCTTGGGCAAGTCGCTGCAGGGTAAGTGCTGCTGTGAGCTCTCACAGACCCCTCTGCTGTCCGTTCCTACATGGTTTGCTTTCCGCCGTCGCTGTGTCCAAACAGAGGCACTGCTGTGTTTCTGTGGGGAAGCTGCGGGTCGGACGTGCCGTGGTGCTGCAGTGGCTGCACTCAGACTGCGGCCAGAAGGCTGGGCTCCACGGCTCCTGGGCACGTGGGGCAGCGTGGGGCCGTGCTGGGGCAGCGTGGGGCTGTGTGCCCACGGCCTGCTGGCAGCCGGGCCGCCCAGCTCCTCACTGTTCCCTAGCTGTAGTCTGAAGAGCTGGCGGCCTGTGAGTGGCCCTGCGGCCCCCAGCGGCCCTGCAGAGCCAAGTCTGTGCTGTGTGGGACTGTTGGAGAGGTGTGGGGCTCTGCGTGCCCTGGAGATGCCCTGGAGGTGCAGTGGGCTCTCTGGCCGATGCGCTCTGACCTCTTGGATGGGGCTGCACTGGTGGTTAATGCTTCTTGCTGCCCCCAACCGGGTTCCATTCGGAGTTCTGTGGTTCGTGCACGGCCTTCTTACTGTCCCTGTGCCTCCTGCTGGTGTCGGGGGGCTGTAGCTGTCGCCCCTCAGTGCTGTGCTGTGCTGTGGCTCAGCATTGGCTGGGTGTGTTCTCAGCCTGCTTCCTCCTCTGGGTGTCCCTTTGTCGCTCTGTGTGGGAGCAGTGAGCAGAGGAAGGCTGGGCCCAGCACACCTGCATGAGGCCACGGCCCTGGGGCTGCTGGCAGCGTGGGGGGCGAGGGGCAGCTGTGGGGCCCTGCTGCTGTGCCCTTCTGCTTCACAGCATAGAGTGGGTTGTGTTGGAAGGGCCCCATGGTCATCAAGTTCCACCCCTGCCGCACCAGGCTGCAGGAGGAGCTCCCTGCTGCCATGCAGCACCGCTGGGCGTTGCTCCGAGGGTGTTTCATTCCTTGTCCTGTGGCTTTTCTACCTGAATCGTCCCCAAACCCATCTGCAAACTGAAGAAAGGAAGCAGTGGCACCCAGTTTGAACCGTGCTCCAGGACTCTGGGGAGTGAGGGCACTTGGTGTGCACTGAGGACAAGAGAGCAGAACACAAAGGTCTTCTCACTTCCATGTTCTGTTCATCAAAACATCCAGTGGAGATTTCTAAAGAGGTAGAGGACAGAGCACAGAGCTGCTGTGCTGTGAGCACTGTGCTGGGGCCTAAAGGATGTCTGGTACTGCAGAACTCTGGATTTCTGTTCACCATGAATACATTACCTGCTGTCTTACATTTGACAGCAGAAGAGCTTTGCAGCCAGCCCCCAGAGCTGAATTTGGTTTGCATATGTTGAGGTCACACTGACCTTATTTCCACGTGGCTGACCTGAACAAAGCAGGTGCTCCTTCAGCAGGAGCTGTTCCACCAAGCCGGGGCTCCCTCCCTAAGGTCAGTGCACCTGGGAGTTGCACTGCAGGCAGTGCTCAGCAGTGAGGAGCTGTGCACCCACAGCAGGGGAGGCTGCAGGAAGGGCAGCTGTGGGAGAGACCTGCTGGTTTTCTTTGTCCCAGCAGGGAGCACTGAGCAGAGGAGCTGTGCTTGGCAGAGGTGGGCCCTTCTGAAGCCCTCTTTGGAGGAGCTGCTTGCGCTGCCCTTCAGACCTCAGCCCAGCTGTAGGGTCTCTGGGGCTGTATCACAGAGCTGAGCCACATCTTGGTGCTTTTGGTGACCATGCAGGCCGCTGAGGTCGGTCACAGCAGGGCTGGCTTGGCAGCTGCAGCCCAGAGAAATGTGCTCGGGGTTCACATTCCAGAGGTGTCGAGTGCTGGCTCACCAAATGGCCGGCAGCTCATCCATCCGTGTGTTTTTCCATTTGGTAAATCCTCTGATCTCACAAAGGAGATGTTTGTGAGGCCCTGGGAACACAGAACAATGCACATCCGAGAAAAACAGCACGAGGAAATGAGGAATTCTGTATTCATTTAGGGGGTTTGGAGCTGTGTGAGAGTATGGAAGAAAAGGAGAAGAATCAGCCGTTAGTCAGTAAGTATCGAGTGGTTTGGCAGCCTCGTGTAAGAAATGGATGTAAACGTGATCTTATCTGCAAGCCTCTGAGCGAGTGCTCGCAGGAATCTGAGTTTGGCACAGACAGACACCTCTGCTGCTGTGTGTAGCATCAGTCAGGGCAGCAGGCTGGCAGCGTGCGGCGTTGCACCGATCTGCAGAGCGCTCGGAGCCGATGGCCGCCGTGTGCGCAGCTCCTGTGTCTGCTTCATACAGCCGAAGCTCCTGGTGCAGCTTGTGCACACTTGGGAACTCCTCCCTGGGACCGTCTGCTTCTCATTGAGCAGGAGAGGCATTTCAGGCTTCGTCTGAACCTCGTGTTTGTCTGTGACCCCTGCCAGAAACCGGAGATAAACAGGATGAGCTCAGCAGTGCCGCTCCCAGAGGACAGCAGGATGAGAGGCTGCCTTGTTTTCATGCGCCTCGTGCAGCCATCAGCACAGGGCTGGGAAGGAGCGTTGCTCTGGGCCAGCAGGGAGCGTTCCAGGGCTCGTTGTCAGGGGCAGGCGGTGCTCCTTGCGATGGGCGGGCAGCGGGCAGCTCAGTGCACAGCAGGCCAAGAGCTTGCAGAGCTTGCACGGTCCTTGTGAAAAACAAAGCTCATCCTCGAGCAGGATGGCTCTGGAAGTAAGTAGGGATGGTGCTTAATGCAGTCCCGTCCCGCTGTGTGCTGGGGTGCTTCCCTGGGGCACTCCTCCCCGTTGGTCGCTCCTGCCTGCTGTGAGCAGCCGGGGCTGTGCTGCTCCACTGCTCTGTTACAGGGCTGCACTGGGAGCGCTGTGTGCTGCGGCGCTGCTGGGCCGCTGCCCGTGCTGAAGTTGCTCTCAGGGGCAGCTCTGCCTCCTGCCCACGTGGAGGAGCTCCATCCATCTGCCCAGCGCTCCCTGCGTAGATGTCCTGTGGTGTTTTCGGGCTGTAGGGGCAGCGGACCGAGCTTGTGGGGCTCACTGCTCACAGCACCCACTGCCCTGCAGTGCCACCCAGTGCTGCGCTGCCATCCGGCGCTGCTTTCTGCCCCTTCCTGAGAGCAGGGCTCCCTCCGTGGTGCAGCAGGAGGCGGCTGCTGGGCTGCACTGCGGGTGTGCTGAGCTGAGCCCAGGGATCAGTGCTCCTGACGTGCCCCTCTGCCACACGTCCCCCCAGGTGAGGTTGGGCCGCCCCCCAGCAGCGCGGTGCCGCCCGGTCCCACGGCGCGGTGTTGGGGTGGAGGGGTGAGGAAGGAGCCTGCTGTGGTTGCCCACCTCCCTGCCTGCTGCAAACCGCCTGTTTTCTGCCCCAGTGGTTTCTGCCTAACAAATGGTGTTTCTTTTTTACAGCGTTATGATCCTGGACTTGTTGTGGTGATGGTAAACTTAGCAGTGGTAATTTTTAATTTTCAGACTGAATTACTCCTTTTGTCATCAGTGCACCAATATGTTAGGCTTACTTTCTCTGTTGTAGCCATCATCCTTCTGCTTGGTCTTTCATTTTCCTTTCCTTTCTTTATGCACACTTGTCTGATCCTCGTTCATTAAAGGGTATTGCTAAGAAGGGACGTTTCTGTTTGTGTTAGAACTGCCAAAATCAGTTTAAACGTCAATTTCTAATACTGTCCAAACTTGATTTTCCCCACCGTGGGCACCAGCACTTGCTACTGCAATTTACAAAGAGATCTTGAAAAAGTCTGCCTGCCTTAGAAGGCAGAAGCACCGCTGCACTGTTTGTGTGCGGGGCTCCACGAGGCGGCACCCGAGCTCTCCATTGCTGGAGAACCGAACCCAAATCCGAACCAAAACGAAGCTGAGATGCAGAATGGTCGGCACACGTGGCCAGCCATGCTGCTCGGGTTTGCCAGCCCCGCCTGAGACGTTATGAAAGTGATGCTGCGCTTAGGAAGCCATTTTTATAACCTGTCTTTAATTTGGTCCTTTTGCTAAAAATTGCAGTCACTGCTTCCTTTATTATACCATTGGGCGAAAGAGAAACGCTTCCAAATGAGGAACAGCATTAAAACAGCCAAGGGCGAGCGTGATTCCAAAGAGCCACTTTGCGTCGGCGCGATGGCCGTGCTTGGAATTGTGGCCACGTGCCCAAGGGCGCATCTAAAAGCAATGCAGCCGTGACACAGAGCTGTGTGCCTGCCTGAGGCAGAGCCGTGTGCTCCTCACCCCAGGGCCGAGCAGATGTTGGGCTGTGGCCCTGGAGCAGTGCTCTGCATCCATCCCAGCGAGCTCAGCCCTCAGCGCCCTGCATCGCAGCGCCGCCTGCGGATCTCAGAGCCCAAAGGTATAATTGTGTTGTATGTGTGTATAACAAAGCAGGTGTTTACGCCGACCCCAGAGCCATGATCAGGGCTGTAAACATTCTGTTTTCTCACTCAGGGTGTGCGCCGGAGAAGGTAAGTGCTGTTCCAGCAGGTTTACATCGCAACCGACAGCGCGGGTTGTGATGTAACGTGTAACAAAACAATCCAAAACAGACAAAAATCAAAACGAAATTAAAAAGCTGTGGTAGTAAAGTGCTTGCGTGCCCCATTTTGCTTTGTTTGGCTGGTTATGAGTGGATTAAAGATAAGTTGAAAAAAAAAAAATAATAAAAACCAAACCCCAACAAAATCTCCAGCGTAGTTTGATTAGTTCCAAGTCAATTCTCTTCGCTAGCAGTCCTTTTCACAGCTTGCAGCCGCACAGCCCCGTGGCCCCTGGGGAGGGATGGGGGGTGGGGGGGTTCTGTGCTCCTGAGCAGCAGTCAGGTGTGTGAGCTGTGTGTGGGGGCACAGGGAGGCTCATTGGCAGGTCCTGGCAGCACACACACACCAGGACGTGCTGCAGTTGGATGCTGAGCACCAGGTGGTTTCACTGTTGGAAGGCACAAAGCTGTGCCAGGCTGGGGCCAGGAGGCACGGCTGGCTGCAAGCTGTGGGAATGGCTCGTGTTTGGTTCACTGTAGCTTTCTGGTCTCTGCACTCCAAGGCAAGATCTCTAACCACCCAAACCCAATGTGTCGAGCGAGCCGCGGGCACGGCGCAGCCCCTGACCGCCTCTGTGTGTTCCTGTTGCAGGGAGGACAGATCCCATCCCAATTGTCGTCAAGTATGATGTCATGGGCATGGGGCGCATGGAGATGGAGGTAAGGGTGCTGTGTGTGGGGCAGGGGTTGAAACGTCCATTTGGGTGTCGAAATGTGCTCTTAAAGCAAGAAAATGCTTCTGTCAGAACCCGCGCTCTGTTGAGCACCGCTGACCTGAGCTTTGTGTTGTCAGTGCCACCGCACAGCCCTCTGCCTGGCAGCTCTCACTGCGCAGAGCTGGAGCTGCTGGTGCTGCACTGCAGGCCAGCACAGTGAGGGAGAGAGCCCAGCACACTGAGAGCCCCAGCTTTTGCACATTCTGGCAGTCCCTGGTGCAAGAAGGGTTTGTGGGACACATGGCCATTTTTAATGTTTCTGATTCTTCTTTGGTTTGTTTTAAAAAAGCTCGACTACGCCGAAGATGCCACTGAGCGGAGGCGTGTACTGGAGGTGGAGAAAGAAGACACCGAGGAGCTGAGGCAGAAATACAAGGTATGAGCAGCAGTGTTCCCAAGGCCTGTGCTGGCTGCTGTAACCCCAGCAGGAATCCACTCTTCTTGTTCCCTGGTGTCACTGAGATAGCTCACATATTAACAAGTGGGTTGCTCACCTCCTGGAGTTTGCTTCTGTCTCTGTTTCGCTGCTGAAGAGCTTTGGGGCAGCAGTGCTTTGGTCCTGCAGCCAGCACTGCCGGGCCAGGCCTGCTGCCTTGTGAGCACAGAGCACACAGAGCCAGACTTTAGGTGGGCTCCCAGTTACCAGCTGGGGCTGAGCAGCATCACACAGCTTGTTACAGTGCTGCTGTGCAAAGTGCTGCCCTCTGAAAAGGCAGAACGTGGCTCCAGGGCTGAGAAGTCCATGTTTTGTCCTTCTGTGGGAGGATTTATTGGGCAGCATTACAGAATGTCCATAGATATGTCATGTTTCCTTAAGGTTTACCAAACTGGTGGTTTTTTTCTGGAGTTCATATCCTCCCTTCTGGATCTTTCTTCTTCCCCTGAGACCTCGACTTGCTCGGTGACTTCCTGCTGTATTTGTTCATTTACTTCTGTAACGATTGTATTTGTAATTGCTGCTGTAACTATTGATTCCTTTGGAGCTGAGTGACAGTACAGAAACCTTCTGGCACGGCTCAGAAATACCAGAGTGCTCCTGTGCTTTGGAGTGGGAACAGGAGCTCCTGGGTCGATGGCACCTAATGATGAAGAGCAGTGCAGTGTGTCACCAAACCCTTTTTTTACAGTCGTCTTTTCAAGCCTCCCTGCCAGCATTCAGCACAGGGCCCTTCCAGGAATTCAGCGGAGCTGCAGCAGTCTCTCCCTGTGTGGATGTTTTCCCTCGTGTGCTTTATTGCCTTTCTGTATTAAAGCTCTACAAGTGCCATTTCTTTGCAGCTCTGAGGTGATGCAGTTGCCAGCTGTGTGTGGCAATTCAGCACATCCCAGAAGAGCTGCGGATCGCTCTGCTGCCGAGAAATGCTCCATCATTCCCTCCCTGTTTGGGCAGTGATAAGTCTGAGGGCTGCGGTCGCTGCTCCACCACAGGATGTGTGCTGCAAAGCCTCGCTGGGCACAGGAAGCGCCTTCCGCCTGGCAGAGCAGCCCAGCCTGCCATTGTCCTGTGCTTGTTTCCTTTCCTGCCTTCATCGGGACCTGCTGCAGCCCCACATCCCCCTGTGCTGTTCTTTCTTAGCATGGGCTCTCTGCAGACAATGAAAATGGGAACTTAAATCCTTCTTTATTTAAAAGCTGAGTAGCGCTTGAAGGGGAAATAAAGCCCATCTTGTAGCAGCAGGATGCTTTAGGTTTTTCCCCTTTGGGTGCCGAAATCCTTTTTGCACAGATCTGGCCTTACAGAGAGCACATCAGCAGTGTTGTTTCAGTGTCGCTGAGGTGGTAAACCAGGAGATTCACCACGTTCCCTTGGACACGATCTCATCAAATAAAAAGAGGAAAGCTTTCTAAGCGTGTCTTCTTTTCAGTGCTTGCTGGCTCCTCTTGTTCATGGAAACACCCCTTAGTTGGTGTTTGCTGAGGACTTCTAGAGAATCTTTTGAATTGCTCGAGGGGAAGTTCAGCTTGTAACTTCTCTTCATCTTGCAGGATTATGTGGATAAGGAGAAGGCGATCGCCAAGGCTTTGGAAGACCTCAGAGCCAACTTCTACTGCGAGCTCTGCGACAAGCAGTACCAGAAGCACCAGGAGTTTGACAACCACATCAACTCCTACGACCACGCTCACAAGCAGGTAAACAGAGCTCTGCAGGCGGTGCTGCCCACTCCTTGTGTGCTCTCTGCAGCCGTCTCCTTTGCAGTTCATACTTTGGATTTCCCCCTGTGTGCTCGTTGTCCTCACTGCCCCAGGAGCAGGCCCTGTGTCGCTGGTCCAGTCTTGTGCCCACCATCCCTTTGGAAACAAACAAACAACAAACACACAAACAGAAAGGAGCAGACAGCCGCCGCTGGTGGTGAGGAAGCTCTGTGTTGAGTGAGGTGTGAGCAGGAGTGGGCTGCTGTTAAACTGGGGGGATGAACTCCTCCTAAACTGGGTGTGAATGGCTCCTGGTTCATGTCTGCTTTCATAGCAGCACAGCTTTGGAGTCTGATGATCTGCCGCATTTCAGAGTGTTGGGAGACCAAGTAATGAGGGGTTGTTTTAAAAGGGGGAGAGTTCCCAAATTCTGTGATGTTCATGAGAAGGTCCATTCTGAATCCGTGCAGCACTGCCTTCTGTCCCCAGCTGGGATGTACCAGGGCAGTGCTGTGTACTTGGTGTGCTGGGGTGGGTAGCAGACGTTTGTGCATTGGCCTCATCTCTTTGGCCATTTGAAGCAAGACGTGATCTCACAACAGAGAGCTGTATTGTGCTCATCTGGGGATAAAAGTGCTCAGAGAAAATGTTCTGATACTCCTAATGACAGATTTTAACACCATGATGGTTGGAGCACTGATGACTTCTTGAGGATGTGCTGCAGAGCGCTGGATCTGGCCAAATGGAAGTGAAGCAACAGCTTTAAAATGGGAGTGTAGCATTACAGGGCATGAATTTTTAACGTTAAGTATGGGATGCAGTGGTTCCAAGTAGGTTCACCAGGGGAGTCGTAACAGGAAATGTACAGCAAGGTGCTTTGTGTGAGCAATGCGAGGGTTGGGAGTGCAGTCCCAACAGAGAGGGGCTGGCATGGCTGTGATACCTGAGAGCAGTGCTTTGTTCTCCATCACTGGGGTGAGATGGAGAGCAGTCGGGTGCCTCTGCTGAGGGCAGGGGGGACCTGGTGGTGGCACGTTTGTACAACGTGGTGATGTGCTCTGATCACGGCCTGCTCCTGCTTAATTGGGTGGGTAATTAGGGGGCTGACAAGAGGTTAGGAAGAGAAACAAACTGTTCCTCGTTGGTATAAAAGGAGTCATGGCTCAAGGTGTGGCTGTGTAGTGGTAGCACTCCATTCACCGCATCTCTGGAAGGGGCTGAGGCTGGGTGGGACAGCTGGTCCTACAGAAACCCGCAGTGCTGTGGGGAGGTGGGCGCCTTCGGATTCCTGGTAGGTCACCCAGCGTTCCTTCCTAGTTATGCAGTGGTTTAAACAGAGAGGAAGTTGTGCTTTGCTCAGGGAAAGGGCTTGCCCAGCTCCTTGTGGCGCTGTGATGTGTCAGCATCTGGATGTGACAGCACCCAGAGGTGGGGAAGGTGAATGTGCAGAAGTAGTGCTGTGCCACCTGTGCTGTCTGTATGCTGGAGCAGCCCCTTCCTGGCAGTGTGGTGCTGGGGGTGCTGCTCCCCACCCCCCCTGGCTCAGCGTGTGTCCCACTGCCCCACAGATAGCCGCTCTGCCCCCACATCCCTGTCTTCTCCCCAGTTATAAAGATGCTGTCTTGTATTCCAGGAAGGAACTCAGGATTATTGCGAAACAGGGATGATAGGTAAGTGTCCTGATCCCTGTGGGTTCGTTTGGACCAACCTCCACTGCATCCACACCAAGCAGTACCAGGGAGGTGGTGTTCCTCTGCTTCCTGACCATGCTGCTCTTCTGGCATTAGGTTGTGTCTGAGCCACCCTCTGCACCGCGTCTCGGTCCATAAAGCAGCAATCCGAGGGAAAAGGGGGAAAGGGGTGGAACTGTGGTGTGACCCCACAGCAAGAGTGTGTGTCCCTCTTGCTGCCATCTCTGTTGGGCTCTTTGTTTCTGGGATCCATTTCTGGTGCCGAGGAGGAGAGATGTAGGGAAGCACTGTTGTGCTGCCAGCACGGTCGCTGCTGTGCTGGCTGAGTGCTCCAAATGCAAACCCTGGACTTCCTGGTTTGGGCAGAGCTGTGCTTTCTGAACACTCACATCTTCAGCACAGCATGGGTGCAGGAAAGTTGGGAGTGCCTCCACCATACTTTGTGTCCAGGACAAAAGTAGTGTGTGCTCACAGCGCGGGGTCACGTCAGCATACACAGGACTGACTGCAGGGAGTGTCTGTGTGCCATCGACTCATGGTGTGTCATCCTCAATGAAAGACTGCAAAGAAGAAGATGAAGTAAAGCCTTAGCTCCTTGCTGCTTTCCCTCTGCTCTTCTCACTTTGTTTGTGATTGTGCAAAGAACACTGGTGGCCAGAAGTAGGCTGTACTTGTGTCAGCACTTGTGTAAAGTTATCAGCCAGAGGTTGCCATCCTTGGAGCTCGTGCTGCAGTTCCCTTCCAAGCTGTTGCAGCAGAATGAGGGGTTTGGAGTGAGAAGTGGTTTTATTTAGTGAGGTTGGCAGAGAGAGTGGAGAGCAATGTTGAGGAGGAGCGGCACTGCGCTGGCTGTGCTCCACGTGAGCTGCTTCCACTGCAGCCAGCACTGGCACCTCATTGTGCAGCTCCTGTCTGCTGTGAGCAGGCTCAGCAGGGTGGGCAGTGTGGGGAGCACAGGGAATGGCTTCATGCCCTCTACACAGCATCCTCTTACATAAGTCTCCTTTCTTTTCCACCTGATGCTGAGATAAATCGTTTGCTGCTGGGCCTGAACCTGCAAAGCGATGCGCGTTGAGCAGCGAAGGCCTCTGTGATACGAGCCCATGAGCAAGCTGTCTGGAGTGCTCAGTCCTCCCATGTTTCTGCAGCTGAATGCTGACACTCCCCTCCAGCTCAGCCACCTTTACACACCCATGATGCTCCCTGGAGCTTCCTGCTGAGGCAGGAGTGTGGCTGTGTGAGTCAGGGAGCTGCATGGTAACAGCACTGCGTGCCACAGCCAGGACACAACCCATCTCTGCCCCTGCCCATGCGCGAGGGCTGAGCAGCTGCAGATTAAGAGAACCTGCTCTTTAGGAGCTCAGTTGCACTCCTTGGTAATTCTGCTGGAAAGGAGACTGAAAGTATTGTTGTTAGAAAGCAGAGGAGGGCTCGAGGTAGCGGAGCTGTGTCCATTGCCTCGCTGTGTCCCTGGGCTCTGCTCCTCAGCTGAAGCAGTGAAGCAGCCGCACTGTCTGTCTTGGCATTGTGCTCAGCCACACTTTGTGCTTTGGAGACCTTTCTGCCTTCTCCAGGGATGTGGGGCCTTCCAGGAGAGAGTGCTCTCTGCTTCCCAAACCTCGCAGCAGCACGAAGGGACGCGTTTGGGGTGGTTAGAAGTGGGCGGCCCTGCTGCTAGAAGACAAGAGTACTGCTGAGCACGTGGTGTGAAGGGTTGATGTAAACGGGGCTCTGCTGTGCAGGCAGAGGTGCCCTGCAGAGGTGGGGGCACTGCTGTGTCACATTGCTTTTCCTGGAAAGGAGTGTGGGCGAAGGGCAGCACATGTGGTGTGATCCCAATGGTAATGTGGGGATCTAAGGGATTAGAATAATGAACACCCGCCTCAGGATTAGGGGGGAAATTTCTTGAGGGTAAGGCTGGGTTAAATACGGTTTAGCTCGGCTAGCTTTCTGCCAGGGCTGGGAGCTGTGGTGTGCTGAGAGCTCTGTGTTCCTCGATGTTCTTGCTGCTGTACAGCTGCACCTGGTGCTCCTGCTGCTCCTCTCTTGCTGCATCAGAGGACAGCAGTGGGCACAGCTGCAATTAATGGCTTGTCTGCTGCTCCTTGCATTGAGGAGTTGCTGCTTCCAGGTTTGTGCTGGGAGCAGTTAGTGAAGGAAGGTTCCGTGTTCCATGCTTTGCTGTCCCAAGGAAGCAGTGCAGTTCAGCTGTTGAGATTTTGCTTTTCCACGTTGCCCAGCAAAGTTCTCATGCCCCCCTGCTGCAGTGCAGTTCCCCGACTCCCCAGGTCAGTACGGTGCAGCCGGGCACACTGGGTGTCCGTGCTGTGGAGTGAGAGGTCCTCAGCACTCCATGCAGCGTGGCAGGCTGTTGTCTGCAGTCACATGGCAGCTCACTGCTGCTGTGTGCTTTGTGCCCGGGAGCTGCGGTGCAGCTGGAGTTCACTGCTCTGTCAAGTCTTGCTGTGAGAGGCTGAGCTCGCCGAGGTCAGCGCGCAGGGAGACGTGTTGGAGGCAGCCCCCCCCACCGGCCCGCAGCCCGTCTGCCAGCACAGCACTGCTCAGCCCGTTCCTCTGCAAGGAATTCAGCATTCCACACCCAGCACACCCTGCAGACCCTTCAGCCCTCGCTTGTCCTGGGGAAGCAGCTCTGTCACTCTGGGTGGGATCGCTTCTGTGTGTGTGCACCCCGTCCTGTGTCAGCCCCACAGCTGTGCTGCCCGGCTCCTGCTCGTAGCTGGCGGCCGCGCGCCGGGAGCTCCGTAGTAATGCTTGCTTCCTGTTTCTTCTCTCTTCCACCCTCGTTATATCTTCACTTTCTTTTTTTCTTTGTGATGGGACACTTTCAGATGATGTATTGAAAGCAAACCCTTCTAATTTCGGAGCCCAGATCACACGAGTGAGTTTCTTTCTGCCGGTGTCTGTAGCTGTATTCTTTGTCTGTCCTTCCCTCTGGTTTTGGTAAAGCTCAAACCGTGTTTAGTAACTGCGATTAGGTGAGAGAATCCTCTGTCTTGTCCAATCTTCCCCTTTGCACAAAGCAATGTTCTCTTTACATTGGGCTCAGTAATTCCCTGGGCTGGCACACTGGGTTCATTAGCTCAGTCCTGCTCTGATGCCGTTGGTCTTTGAGGCCCTTCCTGAAATACCTGACAGATGAGAAACATCAACAGCTCATACGTGGTATTTTCTGAAATTGGGCCTTTCGAAAGATTGTGCACAGAAACGCCGAACAAAACAGAAGGTACTTGAGTGCTTAGGGTGGCAGATGTCTTTCTTGGCAACTTTCTTTACCTTCTGAGTAGTGCTCTTAAAAAACAGCTTGGGAATTGTTGCCCGTGTTGGAAGGAGAGCAGCGTCCTCCTGTCCTAGTGCTTCAAACCAGGACCTGCAGAAACCGTGTTGTTCAATTGCTGTTAAAATGGGACACCCAGGTACCCTCAGTGATGCTATGATGGCTGACATTCCTTGGGTTTGGGTTTCCTATTGGAGATCTCTGGGGCGTGTAGTGTTTCTGCCCTGTGAAGCGTTGAACCCCAAAGCCCTGGCGGCGTTCTGCAGCTTTTGTTTCCTGAGGAGCTCGGAGCTGCTGTCAGGAGAGCGGGGCACTGTTTGTGCTGTGTGTTGTATTGTTTCTTTGCTCACTGGGATCATTTGCATGGGATTTTTGGCACCTTCTCCAATGTAACCTGTACATTGCTTTTGTAAGACGTAACACCCGGGTAACTTCCACACCAGCTCCTGCTCTGTCCCCTGCCAGCGCGCTGTTCATGCTGTACATTTATACCCTGCGAGAGCATCAGAACAAGCAGCCCTTTTTTTTTCTTAATTATTGTTTTGTTTCTTTTTTTTTTTTTTTCCCTTCCAGAATTTGCTTTTTTGCTTTGAAAGCAGCCTTACTGTGCCGCTAAAGAAAGCTGGTTGTGCTGGCTGGGAGCAGGCATGAAGCCGTAGCCCAGCCGGCCAGCTGCTGCCTCTCCACTCAGCTGCCGTGTGTCGGGCTCAGCTGTCTCCAGCTCAGGACGTGGCCCAGGGGGCTGGCAGCACGCTGCCCAGGGCTCTGGCAGTGTTCCTCTAATCCCTGCCCACTTTCTTTTGCCTCAGAGGTTGAAAGATCTCAAGCAAAGGGAGTTTGCTCGTAACGTCTCCTCAAGATCGCGGAAGGATGAAAGGAAGCAGGAGAGAGCCCTGCGGCGTCTGCACGAGCTGGCCGAGCAGCGGAGGCAGCCTGAGTGGTGAGTGAGGGCATCCTGCTTGGGGTGCACTGACCAACACAGAGCTGAGGTTCAGCCCTGCACTGTGCTTCTGGCAGGAGGGAATTTGCTGAGCTGTTGCTCCCGGGCGCTCCCACAGTGTGTGACCCAGCAGAAGTCGTTTCCTGCTGTTGTGTGATGGTGCTGAAACACTGAGATGAGCGTACGGTGCTACTCCTGGGTACGGGAGTACTTGGAAGAGGTGAAATGTGACTTCAGATTTATGAGGACCGGCTGAGAGAGCTGGGTCTGTTCAGCCTGCAGAAGAGAAGGCGTTGGGGGGACATTATAGCTCTTCTAGGACCCAAAGGGGGCCTATGAGAAAGCTGGGGAAGGAGTACTTAGAAGAGCATGTAGCAGCAGGACAAGGGGAAATGATTTTAAACTGGATGAGTTTAGATTTAGACTAGATATTAGGAAGAAATTCTTTACTGTGAGGGTGGTGCAACGCTGGAACAGGTAGCCCAGTGAGGTTGTGGTTGCCCCCTCCCTGGAAGCGCTCAAAGCCAGGCTGGATGGGGCTGCGAGCAACCTGGTCTAGAGGGAGGTGTCCCAACCTATAGCACAGGGGTTGGAACTAGGTGATCTTAAGGATCCCTTCCAACCGAAACAGGCAGCCATCAACATTTTCTCTTGTTCCCACAGCGCTCCGGGAAGCGGCCCCATGTTCAGAACCACAACTGTGGCTGTGGACGAGGAAGGTGGGGACGACGATGACGCTGCGGCCAACAGCAGCTCATTCACCCAGACGTCAGGCCCAGGCGGGGAGATGGGCACAGACAGGGGTTTCCTAAACGTGGGGCAGGGCAGTGGCAGCGCCGTGCCAGGCCAGGCACCCCTGCAGGCAGCACAAGCTGTCAGCTTTGGCATTAAGGGTGCGTTGGGAACCCCGCTGCAGAAGATCGGAGTGTCGTTCTCCTTTGCCAAGAAGACTCCGGTGAAACTGGAGACCATCGCTTCGGTTTTCAAGGATCACGTGGATGAATCGAGTTCTGCAGATGGAGCTAAAGCTGATGAGAAAGGGTCCTCGGATGGAGGGGGCCTGCAGAAAGCCGGAGAGGGTGAAAGCACAAACAGTTCTGACGGCAAGACGGAGGACGACGACCATGACAAAGACAGCGGGTCTCTGGCCACCACGCTGTCCAAACTGAAAAAGATGAGGCGAGAGGACGGACCGACGGCGGTTGAACCAGAGTACTACCATTATATCCCCCCAGCCCACTGTAAAGTAAAGCCCAACTTCCAGTTCCTGCTTTTCATGAAGTCCACAGAACAAACGGAAGCTGAAAACGTGAACAAAAAAAACACAAATGAAGTCAGAAAGGGAAATTCCCCTAAACCCAAACCCAGCAAGCACGTGGAGAAGGCAGCCGAGAGCATGGCACAGCCAAAGGAGCAGAGCGCACCCGAAAGCACCGCTCAGCAGGGCAAGGTGGAACAGAAGGAAACCCCAGAAGACGTAAGTGTGCAGGAGAGCAAGTGCCTGGCAGAGAGCAGCCTGCCTGAGCCAGGCGTGCCCGGCGATGCTGCCCAGCCTGCCCCGAGCTGCAAGGAGGTCCCAGAGGGGCCCAGGCCACCAACGGGGCCCTTCATTCCGGTTCTGAGTAAGGACGAGAGCACCACTCTGCAGTGGCCTTCTGAGCTCCTCATATTTACCAAAGCGGAGCCGTCTGTTTCCTACAGCTGTAATCCTCTGTACTTCGATTTCAAGCTCTCCCGCAACAAAGATGCGAAAGGTAAAGGGGCAGAGAAATCCAAGGATCCGGGCGGGCTGTGCAGGGAGAACATCCAGAACGCAGAGTTTGGAGAGGTGAGCAAAGCCAAGGAGGTGGACAGCATCACCGACGGTTCTGGAGGGGCGGAGAGCAGATCTCTGTCCCAGGGCAAGCAGGAGGGCTGCCTGCAGGGCAAGGGCGAAGGTGAGGGTGACGAGAGTGGGAGGAGCGGAAGCGGCCGGGGTAAGGCTGGCAAATCCCACAAGCACAAGAAGAAAAAGAAGCACAAAAAGTCCAGCAGGCACAAACGCAAACACAAGGAAGAGCCTGAGGAAAAGAGCCGCAAAACTGACCTGGGTGAGGAGAAACCCAGGAAACGGAGACGGCACCGGCACAAAAAAGTGAAATCCTCTCTTTCTACCGAATCGGAGCGGGCGCTGAAGGCCGAGCTGTCCGAGGAGTGCGGCCACTTCCAGAAGAAGAAGTGCTGCTCGCAGGAGTCGCAGAGGAAGTCTCTGTCGGCAGAGGAGGGCAGCAGTGGGAAGAAGGAGGACAGCGGTGCCTCGTGCCCCGAGCACGGCCCCAAGAAACGCAGGGCTGCACGCCGACGGTGCTTGGGGCCGCGCCGCAGCCGGCAGAGCAGCGGGGACGAGGACGACAGCGACGAGGGCTCTCGTGGTAAGCGCTCGCAGTACAGTGATGACTACGGGTCGGGCAGCGAGCGCTCACAGAGCCGCTCCGCGTCGGGGCGCGGGCACTCCTCGCGGCGCTCCTACTCCAGCAGCTCCGACGCTTCGTCCGACCGCAGCCGCTACAGCCGCCACCGGAGCTACTCTGACAGCTACAGCGACTACAGCGGGCGGTCGCGGTGCTCCAAGCGCTCGCAGGACTCGGAGGACGACTCCGACTACAACAGGTCGAAGCGGCGTAAGTACTCCTCTTCTGAAGACTACAGCTCGAGCAGGAGCAGGTCGAGGAGCCGGAGCAGGAGGTCGAGGACACGCAGCCGGGGCCGGACACGGAGCAGCAGCTGCAGCCGCAGTCGCAGCAAGAGGAGGAGCCGCAGCATGACGGGGCGCAGCTGGAAGCGCAGCCGCAGCTACAGCCGCGGGCGCAGCACCAGGAGCCACTCACAGCGGTCGCTCTCGAGGAAGGGCTCCCGCGGCCACGAGAGCCCCGAGGAGAGGAGGTCGGGGAGGAGAGACTTCATCAGGTCCAAGATCTACCGCTCGCAGTCGCCGCACTACTTCCGAGCGGCACGAGGTGAAGGGGCCATGAAGAAAGAGGACGGCAAAGGGGAGGAACCCAGGGGGTCCCAGAACAGCGGCTCGGGCACCAGCCGTGCCTCGGAGGGTGACTGCAGCCCTGAAGAGAGAAACTCCGTCACCGCTAAGCTGCTCCTGGAGAAGGTCCAGTCCCGGAAGGTGGAGAAGAAGCCCTGTGTCGCCGATGAGATGCTGGTGGGGGCCGGCAAGGTGGGCATCAAGCTCAAAGACCCTCCGCAGGGCTACTTCGGCCCAAAGCTCCCTCCCTCTCTGGGCAACAAACCCGTTCTGCCCTTGATTGGAAAACTGCCGACCGTGCGAAAGCCCAACGCCAAGCGGTACGAGGAGTCCGGAATGGAGAGGGGTGAGGAGCTGTCAGATTCTGAAGGGGCGGAGGATGCGCCGCTGGGCGGGCAGCCGCTGCTGGGAGACGCGGCGTTGGGGCTGCAGGACGCGGCTCTGGAGGAGCAGAAGCGTGAGGAGGAGATGCCCTCCGTTCCCCTGGAAGCGCCGGCGCTGCCCGAGTGCTTCAGCTCTGGGGACCTGGTGCTGCCCCACACCTTCCTCGCAGCCCCGGGTGATCGCGAGGCGCTGGAGCCGATGGACGGGGGCAGCCAGCCCGTGCCCGTGGACACGGCCATGATGCCGCTGGTCCCCGACGTGGAGCACTTCCCCGGCTACGTGCCGCAGGGCGGCGAGCCCGGCATGGAGGGGGACCGCGACGGAGGGGAGGACTCCTCGCTCGCGCCGCTGGAGAGCCAGCCCATCACCTTCACACCCGAGGAGATGGAGAAGTACAGCAAGCTGCAGCAGGCGGCCCAGCAGCACATCCAGCAGCAGCTCCTGGCCAAGCAGGTCAAGGCTTTCCCCGCCTCGGCTGCGCTGGCCCCCGCGGCGCCCGCCCTGCAGCCCATCCACATCCCGCAGCCGGCGGCCGCCTCGGCCACGTCCATCACCACGGTGCAGCACGCCATCCTGCAGCACCACGCGGCCGCCGCCGCCGCCGCCATCGGCATCCACCCGCACCCCCACCCACAGCCCCTCGCTCAGGTGCACCACATCCCCCAGCCCCACCTGACGCCCATCTCCTTGTCCCACCTCACCCACTCCATCATCCCGGGCCACCCCGCCACTTTCCTCACCAGCCACCCCATTCACATCATTCCGGCCTCGGCCATCCACCCGGGCCCCTTCACCTTCCACCCCGTGCCCCACGCGCTCTACCCGACGCTCCTCGCCCCGCGTCCCGCCGCCGCCGCCGCCGCCACGGCGCTGCACCTTCACCCTTTGCTGCACCCCATCTTCTCAGGGCAGGACTTGCAGCACCCCCCGAGCCACGGCACCTGAAGGGCGGGCGCGGAGCCGCCGAGGGGGAAGGGTGTTGAGCTCGGGGGCGAAGCTGACCCGGCTGGAAGGTGAGGATGGGATTTACGTTCACTCTCGAGCAGCCAAAGAAACACGGAGGGGTCAGCGTGTGCAGGGTGTTCCACTGGGGCCGCCAGTGGGACGTCCAGTGGGCTCCAGAGAATGTCTGATGTCAGGACCCCCACAGAGCTCCAGTGGGACATCCAGTGGGACTCCAGTGGGTCAACTGATGGCACCCCCAGAGGCTTCTGATGGGGCACCATCCAGTGGGACCTGCAAAGGCCCCCGACGGGCTCCAGTGGAAATCTGATGGGATCTGCAGTGGGCTCCAGCGGGAAATCCAGTTGGACTCCGGGGGACCCCCAGTGAGACATCCAGTGGGGCTCCAGTGGAACTCCCAGCAGGACATCCGATGGGCTGCGGGGGGACACCTGACGGGACCTGCGGAGGGTTCAGTGTGACGTCCAGTGGGACTCCAGTGGGACCCCAGAGGCTCCAGTGGCATCCCCAGGGGCTCCGGTTGGACTTCAGTGGGACATCCAGTGAGCTCCAATGGGACTCCGCTGGGCTCCAGTGGGACATCTGATGGGAATTCCAAAGGGTCCAGTGGGATCTCCGGTGGGCTTCAGTGGGACATCCAATGGGACTCCTGCGGGACCCCGCTGGGATGTCCAGTGGGCTCCAGGGAGACCCCCGGTGGGACCCCAATGGGACACGCAGCCAACCCAAACTCCCGGCCGTCCCCACAGCTCCGTGCGGCGCTGGGCCTCCGCGACCCCCGGCTGTTGGAGGGGCTCCTCCTGGGAAGCCCCCGGCCCCACTGCCGCCCATGGGGGGGGATGGCAGCAGGGACCCCCCGTGGAGCTGCGGCCGTGGGAAGGCAGGAGGAGCGCTGTGCCCGTCCCCGTTAATTTATAGGATATCTCTATTTTTGTTTAACGTACAGAATTGCACTGAGGGCGGGGGGGGGCGCGGGGCCCTCCGTGGGGCGCGGGGGGGTCGGGTTGGGGTGCTGGGGACCCACCGCTCGTTAACCTCCCGCTGCTTAACGAGCGCCGGCCTGTATTTAACTGTGTCACATAAGAGAGATATAAATATATATATATGCTGTACATGGGGGGGCTTTCTAATAAAGCGACGGTTTGTGGAACGGCGGCGGCCGTGGGTCTGCGTTGGGGGGGGGACGACACGGTCTGTGGGGATGGGAGGTCCTGGAAGGGGGGAGGGGAGACGTTCTGGCGGTGGTGGGGGGGTCCTGGAAGGAGTGAGGTACCGGAGGTGGGGGAGAGGTCCTGGAAGGGGGGTGGGGGGGAGATCTTGGAGGGGGGCTGACATCCTGGAGAGGGGAGAAGAGGTCCTGCAAGGGGTGGGGGAAACTCACGGAGATGGGGGTGGGATCTGGGGGTGGGGGGGGAGACGTCCTCATTGTGGGCACAGCTGCGGGGGGCGGCGGGCGCTGCGGGTGCGGAGCTCCGGGGCAGCGCAGCGCTGTGACAGCGCGAAGCTCCGGGGGGGCGGATGGGGGGCGCTCAGCGCTTCCGTCTGGGCGCGGCGATAACCTCGGGGCCGGATGACCCCCCCGGGGCGCCCCGGTGTTCGGACCCCCCTGCCGGCCGCCTGCGGGGCACAGCGGGGCTGAGCGCCTGCGGGGCGGCGATGGGGTCCGCGCTGCTGCCGGCGGTACCGATGGTGACGGTACCGGTACCGGTGCTGCTGCTGCTCGGGGCGCTGCGCGGGACCGCCGGCGTGCAGCTGCTGCACGCACAGCACAGCGCCTACCGAGGGCCCGACGGCAGCTACTTCGGCTTTGCGCTGGATTTCCACGTGCATGGGGGAAGGTGGGCGGGGGGATGCGAGGATGAAGGCGAGGGGCGGGGGGAAGGGATGGGGGGTGTGGGGGACACGGGGGTCCTGGGGAAGGGATGGGGAGGATGTGGGCGTCATGGAGAAGGGATGAGGGGGGGTTTGGGGGCCGTGGGGGTCACGGGGAGGAGATGGGAGATCCGGGGTATGTGGGGGTCGTAGGGAAGGGATGGGGGTCGTGGGGGGGATGTGGGGTACAGGGGGCTGTGGGCGCTGCCCGCAGGGTCGGCGTGGCCGTGGGCGCCCCGCGTGCCAACACCTCGCAGCCCAACGTCACCGAACCCGGAGCCGTCTTCCTCTGCTCGTGGCCGCCGGGACCGGCAGCGTGTCGGCTCGTGTCCATCGACAGCGCTGGTGGGGGCGGCACCGCGGCACCCCATGGCACCCCATAGCACCCCATAGCACCCCATAGCACCTCATAGCACCCCATAGCACCCCATAGCACCCCATGGCACCCCATAGCACCCCATGGCACCCCATGGCACCTCATAGCACCCCATAGCACCCCATAGCACCCCATGGCACCCCATGGCACCCCATGGCACCCCATGGCACCTCATAGCACCCCATGGCACCCCATGGCACCTCATAGCAGCCCATATTGCCCTCCGCATCATCCCATGGCACCCCATCCCCATGGGCACTGGAGATGGGTGGGGGTCTGTCCCTGTGCCCCCTGTCCCACTGATACCATGGGTGGGAGTTGGTCCCCATGTCACCCCATATCCCCCCATATCCCCCCGTATCCCCTCGTATCACTCCATATCGCCCCATATCATCCCATGTCACCCTGCGTCACCCCGTATCCCCCCATATCACCCCGTGTCATTCCATCCCCATTGACTCCATGGATGGGTGGGGGTCAGCCCCTGTGTTCCCCTGCCCCATTGGCACTGTGGCTGGATGGAGTTGGGCCCGATGTCACCCCTTATAACCCCATGTCACCCCATATCACCCATGTCACCCCATATCATCCTATGTCTATGGCACTGGAGATGGGTGGGGGTCTGTCCCTGTGCCCCCTATCCTCCTGACACCGTGGGTGGGAGTTGGGCCCCATGTCACCCCATGTCACCCCATGTCACCCCATATCCCCCTATATCACCCCAAATCACCCTGTGTCACCATGTCAACCCATATCACCCCATATCATCCCACATCACCCCACATCACCCCATATCACCCCGAATCACCCCGAATCACCCCGCATCACCCTGCATCACCCCAAATCACCCCATATCACCCTATATCATCCCATATTACCCCACATCACCCCAAATCACCCCACATCACCCCATATCACCCCAGATCAGCCCGTGTCACCATGTCAACCCATATCACCCCATATCATCCCTTGTCACCCCAAATCACCCCATATCACCCCATGTCACCCTATATCACCCCAAATCACCCCACATCACCCCGTATCACCCCACGTCACCCCACGTCACCCCACTGACTGCTTCCCTGCCTTTCCCCCCCCTTTCAGGGGACGAAGAGGAGCTCAGAGACGCGGTGCAGCTGCAGGTGCACAAATCAAGGCAGTGGTTGGGAGCATCGCTGGCCAGCCACGCCGGCACGCTGCTGGTGGGTGCCGCAGGCTGCGGGGTGGGGGGGGGGTCGGCGTCACAGCAGGGTGGGCGCCCACCCCAAACGTCCCCGCAGGCCTGCGCCCCGCTGCAGCACTGGAACGCGGTGCGGGGGCGCAGCCAGGCGTTCCGCACCCCGGTGGGCGCCTGCTATGTGGGCAGCGCGGGGCTGCGCAGCCTGGCCTGGATCTCCCCGTGCCGGGATGTGCGCATGGCCGCCTCGTATCGGGACACCAAGTACGGTGAGCGGGGGGCGAGGGGGGACGGGGCGGGACCCCCAGGTTGGGGGGAGCTGAGCCGCTGTGCCCGCAGTGCTCGACCAGCGCTACTGCGAGATCGGCTTCAGCGCCGCCGTCACCGCGGTGAGAGCTGGGGCACTTGGGGCACTTGGGGTACTTGGGTATGTGGGGTATGTCGGGTACGTGGGGTACTTGGGGTACGTGGGGTACATGGGTATGTGGGGTATGTGGGTACATGGGGTACATGGGTACATGGGGTATGTCGGGTACTTGGGGTACTTGGGGTACTTGGGGTACTTGGGTATGTGGGGTATGTGGGATACATGGAGTATGTGGGTATGTGGGGGTATGTGGGGTACATGG